TAGGCTTGGTGTTTTTCCTGACCTTCCCATGGGCGACGTTCGGTCCGCTCATCGCCCGTCTGTTCATTCTTCACACCGCAGCCACCTGGCGCTGGAGCTACTACATCGGCATCATCTTCTCCGGCCTGTCGACCGTGTTGTTGGTGCTTTGCTACAATCCGCCCAGATACACACAGCTACATGTGCACGGCAAATCCGAGTGGCGGCAATTTCTCGAGCTCGACTGGGGTGGTCTATTTCTCTACAGCGCCGGCCTTGTCATTTTCCTTATAGGACTCTCGTGGGGTGGACAGGTCTACGATTGGTCAGATGCCCATGTGGTCAGCACGATCATCGTCGGGGGAATCTTGTTGATCCTGTTCGGACTATACGGTGAGTTCACTTTCGATGTGTCTACCATTTGACTATTTCAGAGTGGGGGCTAATTGGTTGTTTATTCAGAGCAATATGTGGTCAAAGGTCACGGCCTGATGCCACCCCGCCTATTCAAGAACATCGGCTTCGTCGCTGTCGTGGCGACGTCGTCTGTCGGCGGCATGGTCTATTTCAGCATGACGGTCATGTGGCCCACCATTGTCGGCACCGTGTTTACCAGCGACATCATCTCGATTGGATGGCAGTCGGCTGTGGTGGGAGGCGGTGTCATCTTCGGCCAGGTCTTCAGCGGCCTGTGCATGGCGGTGTTGCCCAAGCTCAAGTACCAAGCGATCCTCTCGTCGACACTTGCCGCGACCTTCACCGCAGCTCTCGCGAGTATCAGTCCGGCTAGACACGCCTCGGCCATCGCGTTTGGTGTGATTGCCACGTTCAGCGTCGGCTTCATCGACAACGTTGGATTCGCTGGGGTTTCGCTCCTGGTCGAACCCTCAGACATCGGCCTGGCATGCGGCGTCCTGGGTTCCCTGCGGACGATCGCAGGCTCGGTAGCCCAAGCACTGTACATCTCCATCTCGACCACCGAAATCACCAAGAATCTGCCTGCCTTCATCGCGCCCGCGGTCGTGCAAGCCGGCTTACCCCAGACGTCACTCCCAGCGCTCTTCGCGGGTCTCACGACGGGCGACTTCAGCGCCGTGCCGGGAGCCACTCCCGAGATCCTCGGAATCGCCGCCGAGCAGGCGAAACTGGCCTACGCCAAGAGCTTCCGCATGGTCTTCTTCGCGACGATCCCCTTCGGTGTCATCCTCATCGTCATGTCGTTCTGGGTTCCCAATATCGAAAAATTCCTCCACAATAACGTCGCTAGGAAACTCCAATTTGGCACGAAGCGGAGCCACGAAACGGATGAAAAGGCTCACGAGCAGGCCTAGCGTGGTGACTGGGCTCAAAGCAGAGAGTTCAGGAGTACCACCCCTCGAGTGTTTGCTGTTTCAGAAACTAAAACGTAGGCAGCTACCATAGTAGTTTTTGTGACCTGAGGCTCTTTCAGAAAGGCCGAGGTCGTGTGTTTAGTTTAAATAGTATCGGACTACTAATATTGACAAGTGTATGTGTTTGATATGGCTCTTTTGTCCCTATCCACCGATCCGCCATGCCTAAGATCATATCACCCAATATTTTTGGTGAAACATGTCCACAGAAGTCACACTGACAGAAGATTATGCACATGGATGAAAGAATGAAAGCTCCCATCATCGTTCATGTGTGAGCTATAGCCATCGACAAGGTTGATTCTACACTTCCGCCGTTTGTTGCGCTGACTTGATCGCCTTTGAACACAGGCTCGAGGGCACGGCATGAAAGCATAGATCCTGGTTTATCGACAGCGTACGAGGTATACCATACCATGCAAGAGTCTAATCTTGTGACAAAACCATCAAGTTGTACAAGAACGTGACCATCAACCTCTGTTGCTATTATGTACGAATCTCGACCTATATATAATTCTCCGGTGCAACCCTCATCCTCTGTCCGCCAGTAAGACCTCGCAAAGCTACGGCGCCATTGAAATTCATCAGGATGGCGCTTTGACAGAATCTGCAACTCTACATCTTGGCCAGGACCGGTTCAGCCTGGGCTTGCTTCTCGATCTCGTAGAAGCGCTCAAAGTATTCGAACGACTCCGGGTTGGCCACGGCCCCGTTCGGTTTCGACTTGCCATGGGAGATGATGGCTTTGACTGCTTGCTCGATCTTCTTCCCGTTGATCGTGTATGGGATGTCCGGCACTTGGAAGATATATTTTGGTACGTGTCTCGGTGTCCGAGCCGTGCGAATGGCGGTTGCGATGGTCGATTTCAGCCTCGGGGTAAATTTATGACCTTTGGCCATCTTGACAAACAACACGACAATTTCATCCTGGTCATGTGGACGACGTTGAGCTACGCACAAAGAGTCCGCTATACCAGGGATCTTTTCCACGACCTCGTATATTTCCGCGGAGCCAAAACGCACTCCAGACGGGTTCAAGACCCCGTCGCTGTCCACAACGTGTCAGTCAGAACTGTAGGACCACGCCCAAGTCAATGGATCGTCAAGCTCAGAAGAACTTACGATCTACCCAGCATCAGGAACCCGTGAGTCTTGGGGTTCATTTGAATAAAGTCGCCTTGGAACCAAATTTTGTCTCCGTATCTTTCGAAATATGACGCACGATATCTAACGAGAGTTTTCTCTCCCCAGAACGTAGGCTGACTGGGAAAAGGCATGCGGCAGACGAGCTCCCCTGCTTGGCCTGTATGTTTGACAGAAACGGCATTCGTCGCTTCGGCATCAGCAATGTCTGTCGCCATACCTATCGTCTCACACTGAATTTCGCCAGAGTAGAGTGGAAGTGTCGGGTTTCCCGTCACCACTTTACACAGTCAGTACCGGCATATCACCAGAGGCGATTCATGTGGAGGTTACTTACATGAGCCGGCGATGTCAGTACCGCCACTCGTTGACACGAGATGGACGTGTCGTGGGAATCCCACATCGTAGAACCATTCGCTGACTTCCGCGGTCAATGTGCTTCCTGTTGAAGTGACGCATTTTAGGCAAGAAAGATCGATCATGTCCCCTGTGGTGCGTCAGCAGAATCGCTCATGTGATGCTAGAAGGCATTAACGAACTGGGTTTGAGACCAGAATTTTTCAGCTGTGTCAGGAACCCAGCAGATGTCCCGAAATGCGTTATCCTCCAGCCTCTCAGTCAGTCATCATAGACAAGGTGTATACCATTCACTTACCTGAGTCTCGATACCAACCGCAGAAGGACCAGCGGGTCCGGTTTCAGTGGCGATCCGTCATATATGACAGTCCGACCACCGTATCCGATCCCGCATATTACCTTTCCCCACATGATCCAACCTGTCTGCAAGAGCACATGATTAACAAGGTACTAACATCTCTCTATGCAGTATAGGTGTAGACTTACCGTTGTGTACTGTAGGATGTTATCACCAGGCTGGACGTCGAAATGCAACACAGAATCCTTTCTTGACTGGAGTAGAAGCCCCTAAATCATGTCAAACCGCGGGTTTCCACCCGGAGATGGACAGCTGCACTTACCGCAGCGCTGTGGACGATACACTTGGGTGGCCCTGTCTGGAAAGGGCTCAGTCACATGTAAAAAAGCATATTGGGGTTATTCGTAAGGGACTGACTGACCGTGCCTGACGAATACACAATAAAGCCCGGATGTGCGAACGGCAGCCGTTTGAAATCCAAGGGTCTCCCTTTGGACCGTTTGAGGAAGGTGTCGAGGGAGATCAATTTGAGATTCGGGTGCTCATGCACTTGCTGACTCCTCGGTATAACCACGATATTCGTGAACTCGAGAGTCACGAGCATGGATTTGGCATACGCCCTGTTCTTTTCCCTCTGATCCAGAATTCGTTCGTTGTAGAGAACATCGCTCTCGACCAACAACAGCTTCGGTCGAATCTGGCGTACGCGGTCCAGGACACCCTCGACTCCCATGTCTGGGGAAGAAGTGGACCAAATGGCACCCATGGACAAGGTGGCTAAGCAGGCGACGACCGTCTCAAGTCGATTTGAGAGCACCCCAGCCACTCGGTCGCCTTGGACCACCCCGGACGATTTCATCGCGTCGGCCATCCTCGTCACCTGCGCGATGAGCTGCCCCCACGTTACATCCTGGACATCATTCCCGCCCTCTGTGCAGGTATGGAGGACGACCCTTTGCGGATCGCGATCCGCCAACAATATCTCTGTGAAATTGAGCTTGACCTCCGGGAACCAGATCGGCGGAGGCAGAAACCTCTCTCTATCCTGATACAGTCAGTTGTGTATTCGACAAAACGCTGGTGTGGTATAATTCGCACTCTGGATGCCAGCGCGATAGTAGGGACAACGTCTCCCTTCAATCCCAGAAAGACAAACGCGTCGACCCAAAAGTCGTTGGCCGTCTCGACCGCAATTGAGTATTGCCAGAGCTCTTGATAGCTTTTTAGATCGAGACGATGTCGTTCGTTAACAAAGCGACGAAACCTGCTCAACATGGTCTTCGAAGGGTCACGGGGCTGCCAGAGACAGCGGGGGTTGTAGTTGGACGCCATCGTCAGTGCTTCACAGGTCAGGTTGATTTCAATAGCACTATTTCTCAAGGAACTTCGAGTTCGAGTATCCCGTCGTCGTCGCGACTTTCGCGCAGCATTTCATTCAACATCTGCCAGATACACGTAACGTGACTTGCAGAACGACCGACATGACTATTCCCCATTGTGGAATGCCACGGATATTGGAGGGTCTACAGTGGCCTACCGGTCATATCAGGTTTAGTTCTTTTAACTAGATGCTTGAGCTACATTATTAATATTCAAATACCTGAGAGATTCCACCCAGGAGGGAGTCAGGCGATTGGTCCCGGTCCAGCCTTACGGGTTGATCCGTGTCAAAACAGTCTAGTTCCAACCCAATCTCCACATATACTTTGTACTTGTACGGTTTGTCGATGGACCTCCATCGCTTTGTCTCATTGCCGTTGTTCTTGAGGAGTGACAGGAAGTTCGAAAAAGGCAAGCGATATCAAGCCCATTGTGGTCTTCTGTCGGTAGAGATGGCAGACTTTGGAAAACTCATCAGGTTCAAAGATGCAAATGGTGACATCTACCACGGCGAAGCGGAAGGGCTACCAGCAATGACCAAGAGTGGGCTCATCGGCTCTTCCGTGCCTGTCTATTCGGGAGAGAGTCCATGGGATCCCGACTTCAAGCTTCTTCCGGAAACGAGAACAATCGCTGAGGTAGGTACCTGTACTCTTGGGCCTGAAGCTCGCTGAGGAGTCCGCGTGAACTGAATGGTTGTCACAGGTTCTTCCACCACTCGCGGACATACCGATCATTTATTGCATTGGCATGAACTACAAGTCTCATGCCGGAGAAGCTGGGGCACGTCTCACATAAACGAGTCCCCTCAGTCGGGCGAGGTGGCTGACGAGTTGAAGAAACCATTTACCCAGTACCCTCTGATCTTCACCAAGCTCCCAGGTAGCTATCAGATATCTGTCGAGTGGTGTTGATAGAACTGGCCTTGGGCTCAGGAGCAAAAGCCGGGGCATTCGACACAATCTCAGTCCATTCGGAATGCATAGAGCTAGATTACGAGGTTTGGGATCCCCCATCAAAATGGCCCTCCAAAGATCGTGTGGTTGACATGGGATCAAAAGGTCGAATTGACGGTTGTTATTGGCAAAGACTGCAAGAACATCACTGAAGAAGAAGATCCGTTCGATTATGTCTTGGGCTACACGGTGGGTAACGACGTATCTTCTAGATACTGGCAGAATGCCGCCCGTGGCAACGGTCAACCGGCGGTAGCAAAGTCCTTTGACAAATTCGCCCCTCTTGGGCCGGTCATTTCGTCAAAGAGAATCATTCCGGATCCCACGCAGCTCAGGGTAAAGACGCGAGTCAACGGGGAGGAGAGACAGAACGCCACCACGGACGACTGGATATTTGATCTTCCTCTTGTTCTTCGACATATCACCCGGGGTACAACGGTGCGCAAAGGGTCGGTCATCATGACTGGGACGCCCTCTGGTGTCGCTTTCTTCATGAAGCCCCAAGCATGGCTGAAAGATGGAGACGTTCTGGAGACTGAGATCCAAAACATTGGTGTCTTGGAGAATGTGATATCGTACGAGCGAGAGCCGGATAAGAGACTTCAATCGCCGTAGAAGAGATGGACGAGATCGATTCTTAGCCGGCTGTAGAGTATAGGTCAAGCGTGCTGAACCGAGTGTTTGGCATCTGGTAGAACTCCTTGTTCCACAACTGGAGTCACTAATTCTCGCTTAATCGGACTCGGATACGGTGAATCTGAATAGACCCAGGACAAATAGGCTTGATAGAAAAGTATCTACCGATCGGCAAGAATCTGACTGGTCCGAAACCTACTTGTACTGATGACGGACCGAGCTGGACTAGCCTTGCCATGGGGAACCCTCGGCCAGACCATCTCTTGGACGATACAAGTACCTTATTCCGAACGAGATTTGATCCGTCTCGTGAAAGCGACTGTCTCGTGCGCTCGGCAAGTTATCTGCTGTGTGAGTGACCAATGGTAGCAGAACGCATAGAAGACGCCTGCCGTATACATTGACTCGATCTTCTCTGACTGTCTGTCTGTCGGTTACTGCCTCTGGAGTACCACCTGGATTTCCTTTGCACGTCCTCACCATGGTTGCCGACATCTCAGAACCGACGCACTTTCCAGTGATCATCATTGGAGGCGGTGCTTGTGGGCTGACTCTGTCCAGCTTCCTCTCTGACTATGGCGTGTCGCATGTGCTGTTTGAACGCCATGAAGCGACATCCTACCTACCCAAGGTGCGACCCCTATACAGCCCTGTCCAATCCCACTATACCCCTTGTCTGACTATGATTTCAGGCGCACTACATTAATCAGCGAACGATGGAGATCTACCGGCAGCACGGGCTATCCGAGGCCATTTACAAAGAAGCCTCGCCACAGCAGAACATGTGCCAGATGCTGTGGCAGAGTTCCCTGGGAGGCGACGGGCCGTTTGACCAAAAGAAGTTTGGAAGCCTGCAGTGTTTCGGTGGTTACGAGGGAACCGCTATGCATGAGACCTACAAGTAAGGATTCAAGATCTCAATTCGGGCTGGGGTCGCTAACTGGACAGCAGAACGCAGTCACCCACGCTCCCGTGCAATTTGCCTCTGATCCGAACTGAGCCTATCCTCCGCCGGGTTGCCGAAGAGAGAAACCCACGAAATATTCGTTTCGGCCATACTGTCACGGAGATTCAAGACGACGGCCGGCAGGTCCTGGTCACAGTGGTAGACTCAAGCAATGTCACCAGCCACTACCGTGCCGACTACCTTGTTGGAGCCGATGGAGGCAAGACCGTTGGACCACATATTGGGGCGGTGATGGAAGGCCGCAAACGACTGCAAGACAAGGTGTCTGTGCATTTCAAGGCCGACCTGTCTAAGTATTGGGATGGTAAGTGTCAGACTTCCTGCAAGTCATACCCTCACCGCTGATCAAGGCTACGCGTCCAGATCGGACCTTGATATGCCACTTCTTGAACCCCGAAGGCGGTACAATCACACACAGTGGTGCGCTCGTCGTCACTGGTCCGACATGGGGAAAGCACTCGGAAGAATGGTCCATTCATTTCGGTCATCGCATGGACGATCCGGAACGGTTCAACGAGGAAAACCTGGTGCCGCGACTACGCGGCCTGCTAAAGATCCCGGATCTGGAGCTGGAGATCCTGAACATCAGCCATTGGATCCAGGAGCGCGTTCTCTCGAGTAAATACCAAGAAGGCAGGCTATTCCTCGCAGGAGATGCAGCACATCGCCATCCCCCTACAACGGGCTTGGGCATGAACACAGCCGTGACAGATGCTCACAATATTGCGTGGAAGCTTGCTTTGGTGTGCAGCGGTCACTCCAGTCCTAAACTCTTGGATACGTATTCCAGGGAGAGGAGACCTGTTGGCCAGAGAAACTGCGATTGGGTGAGTCCACGGCGTTTCTTGGTCTATAAATAAACAAATCACTGACTGACTGACTCTTGATTGGAAAAGGCCGCCTTCACTACAGACAACAGAAGGGTTCTCGACGCGGCCATCGGCATGATCCCTGGCCAAATCGAAGCCAACGTGGCGAGATTCCAACGGCTGTTCGACGACTCGGAGATGGGCAAAACCGAACGAGCCCAGGTCCAACGAATCCTGCAAAGTCAAGACATCGAATTCTCTGCGTCTGAAATTGAGCTGGGATACCGCTACGAGGACGGTGCCACCATTAGTGATGGCAGTCCTCCTCCTGCATCAGACCCTCTCGGTCAACGCTACATCCCCACGACGCGGCCCGGACATCGTCTGCCACACGTCTGGTTAGCGAAGGGAGACGAAGCCGTGTCCACGCACGACCTGGTCGGGAGCTTGGCTAGATTCGTCTTGATCACGGACGAACATGGGGATGACTGGATCTCGGCGGTCGCGAAGCTGCGTAATTCTTCACTTGAGATTGTGGGCGTCCAGATTCCGACTGACGACGACCAAGCAGCCACTACTTTTGAGTATAGGGACACAGAGAAAAAGTGGAATAGTCTTCGTGGGATTGAGAATGGAGGGGCGATCTTGGTCAGGCCTGATAATTTTGTCGCGTGGCGATCGAGGGGCGCGAGTGTCGACCAAGGCAGAGAATTGGTCGCTGCACTCGAGACTCTGCTGGGGAAGTCACTATAATAGTGCGTTAGAAGCCAAACACGGTAGCATTAAATATGGATTGTCTGGTTTTCTATGCTCGGGCAAGAAATCAGCCATTTCACAGCACAACAGCCATGTCATCGCTCTATACTCGACGTATACCGATATAATTCCATCTTATGGAAATGTATAACACACCCTCTTGTTCCGTCCATGCTGCCGAGCCGCTTGACACCCTCTGCGGGCTTTGTGGTGGCGTTGTGTCCCCCCACAAAAGGTATTCCTGCCCCTTCGAATCGGATGTTCGGTTGCACTCCTCGATGCAGTCTCTCCCGAATACCTGCGGGATGGCGCTCCAAAGACACAAATACTATCTACCAGGGGGAAAACACATTGTCGAGACTCGACTGTTTACTCTGAAATTATTGCAATATCGCTCTTCGCTTTGGATGATTCTCTTGAAATAAGACAACGCTACAACAGTGGCCCTTGGAGAGATGATACGCCAGCAAAACATGTGGGCTGTTTCGAATAGCATACTCCTCTCGGCGGTGACGACAGGCCTGGTGAGCTAAAGCCATGAATTTGAGGATGCCGAACAGCTAGGCTGATGATCTATTTCCAGCTCTGCCATGCCATCTACAAGAGGCGCGAGCCGGACATCTTGTAAGCCGTGACACACACCACATTCCTCGTAAGGAGGAGATGGGCTGATCTGGGTAGCTCCTTTCTACGACAGTTTCTGCTGCTTGTCGCCGCCGCACTAGGATGGACGGCCTTTTCTCAGACAGCTTTCGATCCACTGTCGATCATAGCATCTACACTTCTCTTCGCCACGGTGCATCTGTTCACCCTTGGGTTGGTGCTTACGTGCCTCTTCATGAGCCATATTGACTTAGTTCGCATGCAGACTGAGCATTTCCATCTACCGACTGCTCTTGCACCCTCTTCGAAAGTTTCCAGGCCCATGGGCGGCCAAGTTGACCAAGCTGGAGGGAGTCTATTACGCATTGCCAGGTAAATTTCACGATCACATGCAGGAAATCCACGACAAGGTATCTCTCAACCGACTTTGCTCCCATATTGTGTGACTTGGCTAACACTGCAAACAGTACGGTGATGTGGTCAGAATTGGTCCTAATGAACTTTCCTTCCGCTCGGCCTCTGCCGTGAAACATTTGGTGGGAAAGGTCAACAAGGGGGCATATTTTGAAACCAGCGTCTACACAGAAGGCGAAGGGGTCCCCATCAATGCATTGGTTGATTTCGAGGAGCACAAGCAGCGGCGGCGGCTCTGGGACTCGGCATTCAATCAGAAAAGCCTCAAGTCCTTTTCTCCCATGTTCAATCGCCTTCTCGACCGGTTGATTGGCGAACTCCACAAGTTCGAGGGTCCGTAGCCCAGTCTCGATGGATGAATCAAAAGCTGATGGTCGCAGGCCAAACCGTTAACTTTGTCGACTGGTGTGACTACTATGCTTTTGACGTGATGGGTGAACTGGCATTTGCAAAGGACTTTGGTCTGATCACGGGCGGTACGTTCTTCTCTTGCTTCCTCTGATAAGATGCTTCGCGCTGACCACGATGCAGAGGGAAACAGAGATTACTCGGGTTTCATCCGAAGCGGCCTCAAGATCTTCTTCGTCGTCTCCAATATACCATGGATCTCGCCTCTGGCCTACTACTTTCCCATATCGGAAGAGGTGAAGCAGCAGTCTATTAAATTCCGCGAGCTGGGCTCCAAGCAGTACGACGAGAGAAGGCTGCAGGGCACCGAGCCTCACGACATCTTCTCGCATCTGATAGATTCTTACACCAAACATGCGTAAGTCTGGCACAGTCTTTCAGAATGGGTGCACAAGCTCACTCGTGGCTCTGTAGGAAGAATGCAGAGGCCCACCTACGGGCGGACTCGCCGGTGCTCTTCATCGCTGGCAGCGACACGACATCCACAACGATGGCGTAAGCGTCGTGTGGTGTAGCGGAGGTGGTGTATCTTGCTGACTCGGTCGTAGGTTTCTCTTCTACTTCGTTCTGCGGGACCGGAAGGTCTATAAGAGACTCCGCGACGAGATAGATCAAGCTTGGGACGGGAAATCTCCCTTGGAGGCTGGGATGCTGGGTAATACTCTTCGAGGGCTTGTATAACGTCCGTATACTAATGTGGACCTTGCAGGCATCGAGACATGTCCATATCTTCACGGAGCCATTCAAGAAGCCCTACGTCTGGTCCCTCCCGCTCCGAATGGAATGCAACGCCGCCTGATCCGAGACACTGAGATTGACGGCCATTTCATTCCCGCGGGGACACTGGTAAGTTGCCATGAGAAAGAGACTTCTGCACCCAATTCTGACACCCTCTCCCTCTCGCACTAACACTGACACTCCGATCTCACATGACAGGTCTCAGTCAACGCCTGGGCCGCACAGCGCCACGCCAAACATTTCACCAACCCTCTCGACTTTGTGCCTGAGCGCTGGATCGACTCGGAACGGGACAAAGAGTGGAACCACGTGCCCATGGCGTACATCCCCTTCGGCATCGGGAGCTACCTGTGCATCGGCCGCGCGCTGGCCATGCAGGAACTGCGCCTCATCGCCGTCAAGCTGATGCGCGAGTTCGACCTCGAGCTAGCCCCGGACTTTGACCATGCCAGGTTCTGGGCCGACATTCGGAGCTGGCAGGCGATTTTCAAGCCAGCTCTTCCGGTTCGGTATAAGCGACGCGACAGGACGGAGGGCACAATGTAACTGGGGTTTACTAGTCCTGTCTGGTCTCGTCTAGGCCGTCTGCATTGCATTATAACCTATCTCAATATACATCTCTGGCAGTAACACGAATGATGTCGGTGTTCTCATACTTGTCTCATGGCTGGTTATGTCGCCGAGTGTCACTGTGCAAGTGAAACAGTAATAGCAACGGCAATGGGTCCCCCATTTGGGACTCAGTCAACCAGTGGGTCTCCTCGGACATGCCTTCTCGCGACTTGTGCAATACCCCTCCTCCCCACCAGGTGGACCACATCGAACCCTAGATTTAACCACTCGTATCTGTACCGAGAGATACGGGCCGTAGAGAATCCACAAAAACCACAGCCGACCCTTGTCATGAAGCTCGTTGTTGGTGTGGACTTCCCGAGCCCATGGGGTTTAAGCGTGTCGACCGGGTGGATACCCTGGTACCCGTGCAAGGATCTTCCTCAAATGAACCATGCACATTGACCACATGCTCATTACATTTTCTCTACCACATTGTTCAAAAATTGGTATTTGTTTCGCCCTCGAGTACCGTACATCAACAGAATAGGCACAACGAAATGCTCACCCTCGACCCAAACTCCGATAACCTTCCCAAGCGCTCGGAGCTGCCGTCCATCCCTGGCGCTCCGGCCGGTGCGCTCTGGTTCTGGGGCAAAGACGATGAGGTGAGCGGCAGGAAACATTGTTTGGCCTTGGTCATATCATATCACATCACACAAAACATGTGAACTTGGTTCGAGATACTTACTTACACGCACCACTTAACTTCTCAGCTCGGCCGGCTGAATATGCTGACGCCACGGCGCACTGCGGCAGCTGCAGACCTCATCAAGACGGGCGAGGTTGTGAGCTTGAAGTACGATTGATCTCGCCACGACAATATACACTACTGATAACATGACGACTAACACGCTTGCAAGCTGGCCGATGACCCTCCCCAGTCCGACGCTGTTTGGCCGAGAACCATTCCACCACGAGATCAAGGGCAAACTGGGCTTCGCCAACGACGATGTCATGCATTTCAACACACAGACATCCTCACAGGTATGTTCTTGTTCCGGCCACCAAGGAAAAAGGGGGGGAGGTTGTTTGTTAACATGCTACCGTCATCATCTGCCCACAGTGGGACGGGCTGCGTCATGTAAGTAAAGCCCCATGGCCATTTGTCTGCTGGCACTAGGACGTGAGAATTGATTGATTGATACAGGTGAGCTTGACCGAGGGAGAAAAGAGGTTGTACTACAACAATGTAAACGTCCCAATGAGCTGCGCGCGGGGACACCATCGCTTAGACCATGTCAGACAACCCAGCATGATATCGAAACCAGCACTCGACTTGGACTGCAAACCTGGGCCGACAAGGGTATTGGTGAGTGACTCTCGACCCACGATATCGAGAAGCGAGCTAATTCCACTTCCCAGTCGGTCGCGGCGTCCTCATCGACTACTTCGAATTCACCGGCCGCAGCTACGATCCACACCAATCGCATCCCATCTCCGTGCAATCCATCCGCGCCTGCGCGCGAGCTCAGGGCGTCGAGTTCCGCTACGGCGACATCCTGATCCTCCGCACCGGCTTCATCTGGAAATACAACAGCCTCGACAGCCGGGGACGCGAGGAGCTGGCCAAGATCCCCGGACACGAGCTGGGCACCCCGGGCGTCGAGCAGACGGAGGAAATGCTCGACTTCCTGCACGACAACTACTTCAGCATCGTGGCGGGGGACAACCCCGGCTTCGAGGCGTTGCCGCAGCCCTCGTCGCTCAACCTCCATCTGATCCTGATCCCGCTGTGGGGTCTCGGGCTCGGGGAGCTGTTTGACCTGGAAAAGCTGTCCGAGACGTGTAAGAGGCTGGGGCGGTATGAGTTTTTCTTCACGAGTTCGCCGCCAAACGTGCCAGGTATTGATATTCCCTTCTTGCCTTTGGAACATTTTTTTTTCTTTTTTTGCCTTTTTCCCGCAAAGGGGCCTGGCTGACAATGATTTTCCCTTCTAGGTGGAGTGGGATCCTATCCGCACGCTCTGGCGATCTTTTAGAAGGCGAGGAGAATGAGTATACCAGTTTGGTAACAGTCTGTAGGTGGGCAAGGCGTGATATTCTCCCAGGCTTGTGCTGTAGACTGAGTAGAGACTATGCTATGGTACTAGCAACGGAGCGGATCGTCAGCTAGAGGGCTGTATGGCACTCCTGAGTTCAGCATGGGCCACATCCAAGTCAAGTGGTATATTCGCAGTCAGCAGAGGGGACTACGCTATGTTCAGACGATCTTCCAGTACGCTGTGTGTCTCAATAGCTCTCTTCTTTTCTCTCTCTCCCCTTTTGTTTCTCTCTCCCTTACCGCACTCTCCTCCTTCTCAATAGGAAGTGGATCGATCGTCCACGTCCCACGCCTCGAGAATCTACCCCACCATACTCAACTTCTGGTCATACTGCCTCGCCTTGTCCCTGATATCCGCCACTGCAGCCGCAAAATCAATCCGGTCCGCCGACTTGCCCTCGCCCATGTACTCGGCCGCGGCGTTGGCGTAGGGCAGGCCCTCGCGCAGAATGACGTCGGTACCGCTACACTCGGCGACCTGGCCGGACAGGGAGGCGTCATTGATGAAGAGGTTGACGGCCTCGATGATGGTCGAGGTCGGCGTCTGCATGGCCTCGGGGATGGCGGCCAGGAGGGCCGTGTTGGCCAGTGGCGTGGGGACCAGGCCCGGGCAGATGCAGTTGACTGTGATGGGGTCGCCGAGGGTTTTTATACGCAGGCCGAGGGAGCGGACCAACCCGACGATCTGATTTCATGGAGCGGGTCTGTCAGTCATGTTTGAGCCTTCACTAGCTGAGCCAGACGAGCAGGTGGGAAGATAGCAAGGTGTTAGGCACAAAGACGTACCCCCGTCTTAGCACAACCGTACAGCGGCGCCAGCGGCGTCGGATAGATGCCGCCCTGGCTCGACGTGATGACGAGCCTGCCGGTGCGGTCTGGGCTCTTGCGAAAGAAGTGCAGGGCGAGATACGACGACCAGATGGCGCCGTACAAGCACACGTCGACAGTCAAGACGTCCGGCTTGGGGGGAGCACCAGTTGAGTCGTCCTCTGGAGCTGGGGCGCTGAAGTCGGTGCGATCCAGAATACCCTGTGTACTGCAGTCAATCCTACTCGTCGCTACTTGATGAGACCGGCTGGACTGCATTTCATACCGCATTTGCAAAGACTGTGATCACAATCAAATTCAGTATGGACCTCCAAGACCAGCGAGTAACCCCTCCTCCCACGGGATCATGGCCAGGAGCATAGGATAGCATAGTATAGGGCATCATACCTAGGTCAATCCGCCCCCATCTCTTCCAGGCCTGGGCAAACGCGCTCGCTTGCTGCTCATAATCGACGACATTGGCGCGGGTAAAGTGGACTTTCTGGCCCAGCTGCGCCTCGGCGTCACGGCCCATTTTGACGTCCAGGTCGACAATCTCGACGTTCCAGCCTTGACTGACCAGGTCTTGCACAACGCTCAATCCCATCCCCGAAGCTGGTCGCGTGGCCGGGTTTCGCGCCCGTGTTATCACAAAGTACCACCAAGCATGCGTGCATGCTGCGTGTAGGTATCAAGGGGGGGAGGAGAAAGGTACAGAGAAGCTCACCTCCACCTGTGACGAGGGCGCATCTTGTAGACGACGATGACATTCTGGCTTGAAGCGGTGTGGTTGTGGTTGTGGTTGTGGTTATTGTTACTATTGTCGTTGCATTGTTTGTTTGGACTGCAAATTCTCGAACCACCGCAGCTTTTGTTTGGATTTTTTTTCGTTTCTGTGTAACTTTTCACAATTCCATCCCCGTGCACAACTGACAGATCTGACTTTGGGACCAATGACGGGTATTCTCAGATATGGATCGGCAAAAAGAGCGCGGCGGGAGAAAAGACCACAGGGCCATGACGCTCTGCGCAAGTTCAACTGACTAGGCTATATCGGTTCGGGATCTCAGGGTACCACAGTAAGTAAGTAGCTTTGATTACCTGCATATTAGTATACATATCCATCCCGTGCGGAGAAGAAATGCGACGAGTGACCACATCATGGTCGGCGCTATCAAACTCAAGTTTAGGGAGGATTTTGTCCAGGGAAGTCGGGACATCGCCATCGCCATCGCCATTGCCTTGACATGGTATGAGACGAGGACGATAGGCGCCGCAAAGAAACCGAAAATCTTGTCCCAGGCTTTGTCTGGTCGATGGTCATAATTGAACAAACAGATTTTGTTCCGTTCCATGATAATTGAATCGGTGTTACACCCGACAGAGGCACTGCTTTTCACCAAGTGCAGCAGAAATCTTGCCATTTTAGTAGTCTCCTGTTCATCACGCCCTTGAGGACATGCAGTCATGTATGTATCCCAAACTACATCGCCCACCTATGCCGTAAGCCCACCGTCGACGCTCATGGTCGCGCCCGTGATGAACGAGGCCGCGTCCGACAACAAAAACACATACATTTCCGCCAGCTCCTCCGGCTGGCCTATCCGCTTCATGGGGGTTTTCTCCTTGACAAACGCGATAATGGCGGCTGGGACCTCGTCGCCGCCGTCGGCGGACTGCATCAGAGTTTGCTGCATGCCTGTCTTTACGATTCCTGTTCCCTCCCCCGAAAAAAGCCAGAAGGCAAGCAAGAAGCCGTCAGTAAAGTGGATTCAAACAAAGCGCCATCTCTGAAAAATCAAGGGAAAAGGTGGGAACATGAGCACACAGCGTGAATGGAGCGGAGGAGATTATCTTACCGGGCGCGACTGCATTCACGCGAATCCCCTGTTCGGCCCATTCGATCGCCCACGTCCTGGTGAGGCTGACAACGGCGGCTTTGGAGGCATTGTACGCTGCCGTGAATGCGCCGGGCCTGATGGCGTTGGCACTGGTGGTGCTGACGATGGAGCCCTTGGAGTCCTGCTCGCGAAACTGGTAGTATGCCTCGGTGGCGCAATTCCACACCCCGACGACATTCACCGCCAGCGTTCGCTGCAGAGACTCGTCGTCGTACGTGTTGGATTGGTGGGCGATGCCGGCATTCGGAACCATGCCGTCTAGATGGCCAAAACGCGCCACCGTGTCCTGGACCCATTTGTGGACGGCATCTCTCGAAGACACGTCCACCACAGTATAGCTATACTCAGAACCAGATGTCGTTGCCGCACTGAGACTGCTGGGAGCGTCTTTGGCCAGATCGGCGATGGCGACATTCGCGCCCACTTTGAGCAGTTTCTCCGCAACAGCAAGGCCAATGCCAGACGCGCCGCCTGTCACGGCAATGACCTTGCCTTTCAATGATCCGTCCATGATGTCTGTGTACTAGTGGTGGTTGGTATTCTGCTTATGATCGTCTAAAGAGTACGTTGGGGACTGTCACTGTTCAGAATCGAGTGCGCCAGGGAGAGTTTCACGGTGTCATTGGGCGACAGACTGTATTTATTCCCTTGCCTGAGCTGACCTGCTGGCAGATGGATAATGCCAACCGTAACTTGGGAACATGACCAGTCCGTGGATTACTGTTGAAGTTGTGCGCCAAATCCACCTTTGTCCCGGCAGAGGAGACATGGGAGAATAGAAAGCCTAGAGCATGCACTAGAAATTTGTGATTGACTCGACTCTAAGAAACACGGGAAGCATACCTGACTGTCTGTCTAGTGGGGTCCCGAACCCGTTTAGTTTAGGACTTTCCCCAAAGAGATCGGAATGACGAAAACTTAACTGCAAGTGGAATTTCTGCGGGTCCATTTCCAACCCGTGAGGGGCAATGAATACTCGGTATATGACCCAGTCGGCTTCGTTGAATTGAATGGATTCCCCCACAATGTTCCCCGGACCCCGGCTGCTAAGAGATGGTCACTGTCTGGTATGCAACATGTTGTCCCTCCCCGAGCCTTTCGAGCATAATTTCTTATTCCACACAGCACAGAGGGAATTGACTTCTCTCTTGCCGAGTTTGCAACACAAGATTGGGTTTGCTACTCCACCAGAGCCTTTGAAGCTGGGTACGGCTGGAAAACACTATGGGTCCACTGGGGTGACTGTCCCGGATCTGCGCCTCTTCTGGGAGAGGGGGTTTGTCTGCCAACATCACGAGGGGCAAAAAAGCCCTTAAGAATCTCACGGCTCCCTTGCATGGTTGATCCCACTGTGTCCTCCACCGTGTACTCGGTACGTGTTGTCCCATCACTTGATTGCCCAAGATGACCTTCTCAACAGCAGCGGCCGGGACCTGGCTTTCGGCCATCGGAGTAGTCTTGATCAGCCTGGTGCTGATTAGAATCCTGAAGCTGATTGTCCACTACATCGAGGCGAGGAAGCTCGGCGTCTCCCTGATTGTGACGCCCGTCTCGTGGCAAGATCCGCTGTGGCTCATCTTCTGGCGGCGCTTCGCCTGGATCAGAAACCTCCCGTTCGGCGGATGGTTGGACTTCAGCTACATCAGCTGGTCCGTGAGCGCGTACTACCACCCTCACCAGAAGCTAGGCGATGCCTTTGCCGTGGTCAGGTCCGGCCATAATGAACTGTACGTGAACGACCCCACCGCGGTGCAAGAGATCATGTCGCGGTGGAAGATCTGGATCAAGCCGCCGGAGCAGTACGACATTTTCAATCTCTTCGGGCCCAACGTGGTCAGCATCAACGGCGAGGACTGGCAGCGCCATCGCAAGATTGCCGCCGCCGTCTTCAAGGAATCCAACCACCGGCTCGTGTGGACCGAAGCGATGCGCCAGTCCGGGCAGATGTGCGAAGAGATGAAGCGCAGACAGGACACCACCAACGGCGGGCTGACTCTCAAAAACGTCGAAACTGATGTCGCCCTCGCGGCCCTCCATGTGCTGTCGGCCGTGGGCCTAGGCCAAAGCTACGACTTCGCCGGTGGCTTGAAGCACATTGTCCAGGGCCAGCACCGGGTCTCGTACGCCGAGTCTCTGTCGTTCATCTTCCGCAACATCTTCCTCGTCTGGATCTTTCGCCACGTCAAATTGCCCAGCTTCTTACTGCCCCAGAGCATCCAAAACGTCCACCTGAACCTCCACGAGTTCAGAGAGTACATTCGCGAGTCGATTGCCCGGTTCAACGCGCAGTCCGACGCAAAGGCCGACATTGTCAGTTCGCTCGTGCGCGCCAACGAAGCCGCCAAGCGAGAAAAGGTTGCCGGCCAGAAAGGGTTCTTCCTCAGTGACGAGGAGCTGTACGGCAACTTCTTCGTGTTGAACTTGGGAGGGTACGAGACCACCGCCGGTGCCCTGACATTCACCATTCCGTCATTGGCACGGTACCAGGACGTGCAGGAATGGCTCAGGGAGGAAGTGGATAGAGTCGTCGCAAAGACGGACAACTATGACGAGGCATTTCCTTTGCTCGTGAGGTGTCTGGCCACCATGGTGAGTAAACCCAACCGTTTCCGCGGACGTGTCGAGTGATGTTGACCGGGGATGTTAGTACGAGACGCTGCGAATTCACGGACCGTTGCCCGATGATGCACGGTATTCCCTCGACACTCAAGTCCTGCAGGTCGGCGACAAAAAGATTGTCGTCCCGCCAAAGACATATGTGACCCCCAACATCTACGCCGTCCACACGGACCCTCGGTACTGGGGACCCGATAGTATGGAGTGGAAGCCGTCGCGATGGATCACAAGGAACGCCGAGGGGAAAGAAGTGCTCGCCGACCCTCCTCAGGGAGCCCTGTTTGCCCCCTGGCTGGCAGGTCCTCGCATCTGCCCGGGCAAAAAGTTCAGTCAAGTTGAATTCGTTGCTGTGCTGGTTGGACTGTTGCGCAAGTATCGGGTAGGACTCAAGGTGCGTCGGGGCCAGACCAAGGAAGAAGCGCAGGACAGCCTGTTGAAGGCGATCTACGACAAGGACATTGTGACGACTCCTGTTTTCAAGCGGCCGTACGACGCTAGCATTGTGATTGAGTATAGATAGCTGCCCTGGCGAGACGTCGGCGTTATGCACCAAGATGATGTCAGCGAACAGTACATGAATATCCAGCTTGCGGGTGTCGAGTCGAGGGTAAAGCTTCGCGAAACTGCACAGTGGTTCCTCTTTGATTCGTCTTTTCCTGTGGACCTGGGCAAAGACGAAAGACCGGCCCCAAAACGCGCGCCGGGGAGTGGGGCGCAGCAGTTCTACAAAGGAGCTTTTTTCAATGTCAACAGGTGTTTCGAATAAATGTTTTTGGTATAGTTACGTCCAGATAAGCTATTCTAAACTGTCTTCTCACCGGGCGGTCTCCCCAACTACGTCTTTTGCGTTTCAAGCTGTCTTTTGTACGCAGACGATAGCAACAATAGCTCCAATGCCACCTATCCCTTCAACAACCTTACCCAAAGACGAAAGCGAATGGCGCTTTCAAGACACTGGATACCCAAGTGAATGAGTCGAGATGTATCGACCTGGTGGGTTCCATCCAGTCAACTTAGGCGACGCCTTCAAAAATGGACAGTACCGAGTCATCCGGAAACTAGGCTACGGTTCATTTTCAACTGTGTGGCTGGCAAGAGATACAGTGTTGGTGACAATCATTTGAGCTAAGAAGAGGAAACCCTCATCTCTAACATTACTTCTAGGAACTCACGCTATGTGGCTTTCAAGGTCATGGATGCCAAGTCATCGCTCAACGCCGCCACTGAGCTCTCGATACTAGACAGAATCAGCGAATGCCGCTTGGAAGACCCGCTGGCCCAGTACATCCTGACAACTCTGGATACGTTCCATCACTCGGGACCCAATGGCACGCATCTATGCCTAGTTTCAGAGCCCATGGGCCCGTCTGTCGCCTCTTTGGCTGAAGAACTCACACCTTTGGAAGAGTGGAAAGTGAACATCAGCTACCCAACGCCCATGGCCAAACGGATTCTGCGACATGTGTTGCGGGGGCTTAAGGTTTTGCACGCTAATGGCATTGTCCATGCTGATTTGCAGCCGGGGAATCTCCTCGTTGCCATTTCAAATATTGATCAATTGAGCGAAGAGGTTTTACAACAAGATGTGTCGGGCCACGGAAGGAACCCAGCACCTGAGGCCGTACAACGAATTGATGGGCTAGAGGATGAATGGGCTCCTCGATACCTATTTCTGGGTCAGTCGCTTGTCCAATACGCCAAACTTGGGCAAGAACTGCAAGTTAAGATTTCAGATTTTGGCGCGGGTAAGAACTTCCCTTTCTCTGATCATCTGAAATTTATTGATCGAAGCTAAATTTTTCTTGGAGTTCAAGCGTTCTGGTCTCGAGCACCTCCCAGTACAACCGTTACACCCCTTGCTCTTAGATCTCCCGAACTGATTCTGGGTGGAAAGATCGGTTCAAGTATCGACATCTGGAGTTTCGGCTGCCTGATCTTTGAACTACTGACCGGAGTTTCGTTATTTTCTGTTGTGGTGTATTTCGAAGACGACCGAGAGTCCACCGACGATGAGCATATACTCCAGATGAACGACATCCTAGAGCCGCTTCCGGATGTCTGGCTTCAAAAAACGTGGACGCGAGCGGGAAAATATTTCGGCCCGGGGCGGGAAAGGCTGGGTCCAATTGCCGATGGTCAAGACGAGCCGTATGTCGACGACCCTTTGGAGTTGCGATTCAAGGAGTATAGGCCAAAGGATATCGACGACGAGGAGGCAGGTATGATCACGTCGCTCATTCGAAGTATTCTGAGGTATGAGCCATCACAGAGACCGACGGCCGAGGAACTCTTGAAGCATTCTTGGTTTCGTGAATGATGCTTGTCTTCTTCCGACCCCAGACTCGATTGATCTCTCTCTCATAGAAAGAAAGAGGAAGGAAGCCAGAACGTCTTCGCTGCCATCAAAGTCGACTGCATCAGGAATGACCGGTCGATAGAAAATCCCTCCTCGTTTCCAGACTCGACTTCCATGGTTGTTTTGTTTCCAGCACGGCGACTGTATTCTCTGTAGGGAAGAGGTAGAAAGGCTCGTCGTCGTCCCGCAAGACGTACCGAGTCCAGGGAAGCCAGTAGATGTCTCGATGTGCTCATCGCGTTGTAGTGTGCGTGCCGCGCAGGGAACTGTAGCCGAGGCAGTGAAAGTGAATGCTGGTGAAGTACTCCCAAACCCTCCTCTTGGCTGGATACTCACGGTATTCACATGCCACACACAGAGACACAGGATCCGTGATATTCACCACCACAAGTGGGTCCCAAGTCCAACAGCCCAAATTAAATACATATTAATTGGACTCGCACAAATCCAGTAAACTTTTGAAGAGGCATTATTGCCTATCTTCCACACACACACTCTCTCTCCCTCCCTGGCCTCGACCTCGTCCATGTCGTATGCGCACTTTCACCTCCGCTTCTCCCCTTTCTTCTCTGCCTCTTCTACCCTCTCTCCTGCCCCCCCCGTGTGCCCTCGCCTCTTCTGCCCTCTTCTGCCCTCTCTTGAATACAACAATAACTTTGAGTCTCTATAGGCTGTGGGTACGCTAGTAACAACAGGCCCTTGGCCGTTACTCCATTCTCATACGTACTCACGGCCTTCATGTTGTATATTGGACCTAGTGGTTTGGTCATTCTTTTTTGGAAGTTTGAAGCGTGTCCTCCTTCTTGGTAGAGTATATCTTGTAGTTTTTGAATGGTGATCCAGTTCGAGACTGGGATAGTTCGCCTTGACTTTTTGCTCCGATTGAATCTTCTGTGTTTTCTGTGTGCGGTCTGCATGCGGTAGGTGTGCCTGAGAGTTCACTGTCGTTAGTAACACCTTGGCGAATATAGGGACAACGAAAAGATAGACGTTTTCACCTCACCCGTGAACCCACGCTCAGACAGCACCTCAACCAATTTTTTCTCATCGTTTCATTCATCAGATTTCATCAACCGATCATTTTGAACCTTCTCCTGACCTTTGTGTTCTTTACCCTCGCCACTTTCATCAGTTCTTCAAAGCTCGAGTGAGAGTTCAACGTCCCCGTACAAGCAGTGCGCGACTCAGGTTTCCTGGTTCTTGCATGCTCAAATCGGACTTTCATCTCTGATCCAGCCTGCGATTCAGCTCTCAGTCATAAAACTTCCAGTCAGCGTTGAATCCTATCCTGCGATTCAGCTCTCAACCATCAAAATTTCCAGTCAGCGCTGAATTCTAGCCTGCGATTCAGTTTTCAATCATCAGAAACTCCGGTTAGCATTAAATTTCAACCTCCAATTCAACTCTCGATCCCTCAAAACTCCAGCCAGCTTTGAGTTGCAGTTTGCGATTCAGCTTCCGAAAACTTCGGCTAGAATTCCGGCCTTGAGTTCACTCAACCTCATCATCGCACCTCGCCCTCAGTCAAGACTCAACCTCATCTCCACACCTCACCCCAAGTCAAAATGTCCGGAACAACTTTTGACCTACCTATTGTGGGACAATGCAATACAAAAGCCATACACACACAAGATGTCGAGATGTCTAATACTCCAGAAACTCCGATAAAGAAATCAGCCGTGGAAATGACGAAGTTAGAGGTCAGACTTGTCCGGAACATGGACCTTGTTACAGACCCCATCTTCCTTCCGGCTTTCAGATGCAGGTCAATGAAAAATCTCCTTGAAACATATGACCTGAAACTCAAGAGGGTGAATTACCGCGCTTGGAACATGCTCCATGGGACATACATGAAAGACACATTGCCAACGGTATTCCTTGGAAAGACAGTTGGGAAGGGGTCGAATTTGTGGGTGGAAGCACAGTGGAATCAACCAGGGACATACTCTAGGTGGTTCGATCGCAATATTGAGTCTGGACAAAACAGTGGCGCTAGTGTCAAGGTGGAAATCCATGTCACGGTTGATTACGTGGCCGCTGGTCTCGCGGAGTACCTCGGGCGGATTGACGACCCGACCGAGGAGGAGCTTGAGAAGGAATGCCTGGAGGAGGCGGAAAAGGAGAGGATCCCGGCCACCAAACGGCCATATAAGAGGGTGGAGTACCTCTTTGAGGAGTGGGACCTCATCGAGAAGAAGCAGGAGGAACGTGGCATGTGGTTGCCAGCGATGACCCCCCGGGTCCGAAGGGAGCGATATGCCCCTAAGGGGAAGGAGTTCGACCCGGGGTCTCACCCCTGGTTCAAGGGGGAGACGGACACCGAAGCCAACTACTTCGAGGTCCAAGATGGGGACGACGACGACGAGGAGGAGGAGGAGGAGGAGATGGAGGATTGGGAGTACGAGGAGTACGAGGAGGAGGAAGCCGAGGAAGACGAGGAGGACGAGGACGAGGACGAGGACGAGGACGAGGACGAGGACGAGGACGAGGACGAGGAAGAGGAAGAGGATGAGGGAGATGCCATGGACATCGATGGCTGAGGTTGGAATAAGTTTGGTGAGGCCAAGAGGCCAAGAGCCTAAGGCGGGATGACGTCTGTGTGGAGTACGTGCCCTTGTTTCACTGAGAAATAGTAAAACGCCAGAGTCAACAGACTCAACAGCGACGGTGCTTCCTACTGTCTATCCGTTCCTCGTTGTGACATACAAACTGCATCTCGATAGTGACGTTCCACTCCGCGTGCCCAATACCCTGTTACTGAAACAGGCGGCGTCAACAATGGGGCCGCTCGCCGTGCCATCACAACAACAACAACGTACGGTGCACTAAGTCTGACACGCCGTGGGCATCGCCTCGCGAACCTATGACGGCGACCGGTTAACTTGTGAATGACGTCCCCAGACTGACTGGGCACTGAGCCACCGTCCTATCCATCGCTTTCTGCACGTGTGGACCTTGAGAGCCTTGTGAGTCGGACGTGCGCAAAGACCATATGGGCCTTGAACGAAAGCGGGAGCCATGAAGAGGAGGTATCACTCGGAGTGAGCGCCATTGTCAAGAAGATCAAGAGAGGGAAACAGAAAGACTATGTGGTATACAACACGTCTGCAGTGCGCAGGAGATGTAAGAGCAGGTCAGAGAGCGACTGGTACAGCTCGGAAGGAATGGGTCAGCTCGCCTGAATGACTGCGACCACAGATGCGGTGCCGACTGCGTGTTTCAAGTTTGAGCCTTTTGGGCCTGATGCTTGCGAAGAGATGATTGAATCGCCTGAACTACATGCAAAAGACCTAAGCAATTGGGAGGCTTCGCAGGAGAGTTTCAGAGCATGACAACGTATTCGCCCACTACCAGAGCCTCGCTTGATTCAACTCCCTTGAGAAGAGGACAGTCCTATTCCCCATGGACGGGCCCTCTCAAGGAATGCACAGTCTTCACCCTAGTGGCGGTCGTTGATCTGAAACCTTTTCTGACCGAGACTTAGTAACAACGGAACCCCCAAACACCATACTCAATGAAGCAATCGCTGCTGTGTTTGTACAAGTCTAGCTAAGACATTCTCCTTCGTGGGGGAGAGGGACGAAGAAAAAGAAGGTGATCGTCGAGGAGTGAGACGCCCCTGCCATAGCACCAGCTCCAACAGCTCCCAGGTTTTGCAGACTCACACGCCCGTTCCTAGCAGTAACTTGACTCAGGTAAAGATCTCGCTTTGAACGTGTTTGGAGGGTGTTCGAAACAATCCACCAGTCTTCCTCACTTCGCCTGTGGTGGGGGGTTGAAGGTCATGGTTGTAGGAGGTACATATCCTTCTGTCCTGGCCCCAGACCCCGTTGGTTTCCTCACCTGCTCTTCTCGAAATTTGACCTCCTTCTCATCTTGAGCGACGACACAGCAACAGCAGCAAATGCCCTTGACACAGTCCCCAGCAACGTTCCCGGCCTCGTTGCTCATGGTGTAGGTCTTCCGCACCCGCGTGTGCTGGATTGCAGCCAGTATCCCATTGACGCCACAGAGAAGACCGAAAGCAATGCAAGACCCGTTGAGCGCCGTATAACCCAGCATGTTCGTCGGATCTTTCCTTTCGTCTCTCAATCCCAGCCGATATTGGGTCTTTCCATATACAATGCACGGGCAGAACAGCCCGGTGAGGCAGGTTGAAGGTTCGGCACAAGAGCAAAAACTATGCTGCCACGAGCCGCCTTTTATGGACTGTGGACTCGGAGTAAATACGTGGGCTGAGAAGTGAGCGGCATCGGCCGCAGGAGGAACGATGGCCATGTTGGTGCTGGCACGGTTGGGTTTACGATTCGTGGGTGTCAAAGGATTCGTATCTGGCACAATGTGCCCCGTGGGTTCGTTTTCAGGAATGGTTGATTGTTTCGCAGGTTCGGGAGGTTGTGGTAGAGAGGGTATGGAATACTGTAAATTCTGCGTTTGAGGTGGTTGATGTAGAGGTACGTGGGCAGGATATGGCTGTGAGGTGTAAGCGCCAGGTTGCTGAACAGCCTGCACGTATTGCTGTTGTGCAACCGCCGGATTGTGCAGATGATGCGGAACCCCATCATCTCTGTAAACCTGTGGTTCCATGCTCGGTATCGGAATCTGTCCTTGCGGCGGTTCTTGTTGTGCAACGCCCTGTGAAGGCGGTTGTGTTGAAATGATTGTCTGTCTCTTTGCTCCTACACGATTCTCCTCGTCTGCGGACGTGGTCATCCACGAAAACCGATTGTCGGCCGGTTGCTGAGGTGGCTGCAGAGAAGTGGGAGGACGGACTCGAGGATACTCGTAGGTTTTCATCTCGACGGGAGGTCGGGCAGCCCGCTGCCCGTGTTTTTGCAGCACACCACCGTTGGGCTCGTTTGAAAGCGTACCGCAGTCAGCAATGACGTGGGAGGGGCGGCCTTACTGTTTCTCTGTTTAAGCAATCGACCGCTGTATCGCAGATTACACATGGAAACGCA